AAGATATTTAGATTTAAGATCTGGTATAGTTCAGGTCAATTGATTGATCAAATTTTTAAATAGATGTTAACAAGTGGCTAATTAATTAAGAAGATGGTGTGTTTTATAAAGAAAGATTAATGGTATGTGTGACATAACATAGACTTCTTCAATAATCTCAAAACTCTCGATAAATCTATCGATCTGAAGCAAAAGAAAATGGCAAATTCCGAAAGATCATCATTACCATCGCTTATCGATCCAAGAAATGGTTTCTGTATTGCAAACTCAACGTTTTATAGTAAACGTAAACCATTGCCACTTCCGACGAACTCCTCCCTCGACGTCACAACTTTCATCTCCTCCCAAACCCACCGCGGCACCACCGCCTTCATCGACGCCGCCACGGGCCACCGCATAAGCTTCTCCGATCTCTGGAGAGCCGTTGACCGCGTCGCCGACTGTCTCAATCTAGACGTTGGAATACGGAGAGGTGACGTCGTTCTCATCCTCTCTCCAAACTCCATCTTCATCCCCGTCGTCTGCTTCGCCATCATGTCTCTTGGAGCCATCGTCACCACCGCGAATCCTCTCAATACCGCCGGTGAGATCTCCAGACAAATCGGAGACAGCAATCCAAAGCTCGCCTTCACAACTCCTGAGTTAGCTCCGAAACTCGCCGCCTCCGCCGGTATCTCTGTTGTCCTCGACCGCTCTGAGCCCATTCGCGGGGTCAAAGTCGTTGGGATACTGAGCGAGATGGTGAATAAAGAACCGAGTGGTCAACGAGTCAGAGACCGAGTCGACAAAGACGACACGGCGATGCTTCTCTACTCATCGGGAACCACAGGACGAAGCAAAGGAGTGATATCATCTCATGGAAACTTAATCGCGCACGTGGCGAGATACATCGCTGAGCCATTCGAGCCAGATCAGACTTTCCTCTGCACCGTTCCGATGTTCCACACCTTCGGATTACTGAACTACGCAATGGCCACCGTAGCTTTGGGTTCCACGGTGGTGATCCTCCCGAGATTCGAGCTCCACGAGATGTTGGAAGCGGTCGACAAGTACAGAGCCACGAGCCTAGTTTTGGTGCCGCCGGTCTTGGTGGCTATGATAAACAGAGCAGATCTGATCAAGGCTAAGCACGGTCTGAGCTCCCTGAAAACGGTTAGAACCGGTGGGGCTCCGTTGAACAAGGAGGTCACGAAGAGTTTTATATTGAAATATCCAACGGTCGATATTTTGCAAGGCTACGCTTTGACGGAATCAAACGGCGCAGGAGCTTCGATTGATACGGTGGAGGAGAGCCAGAGATACAGTGCGGTGGGGTTGTTGTCTTGCGGTGCGGAAGCGAGGATCGTGGATTCGGATACGGGTCGGGTCATGGGTGTTAACCAAACGGGCGAGCTTTGGCTTAGAGGGCCTTCTATTGCCAAAGGTAACAAATATACACTATATGTCAGTGGACATATTCAAATATTAACTGAATATACTTTTATATTTGTATAAACAGGTTATTTTGGGAATGAAGAAGCTACAAATGAGACTATTGATTCAGAAGGATGGCTTAAAACCGGAGATCTATGCTACATCGACGATGATGGGTTTATTTTTATCGTGGATCGATTGAAAGAGCTAATCAAATACAATGGTTACCAGGTTTGAAAAATATTTGTTATGCCATTTCGATAAATAAATTCGATTATTGATTGGTTAGAAAATGGTTCATGTTCAAAATCTAACAGTTTTGGATTGTATCATAGGTAGCTCCAGCGGAACTAGAAGCTCTTCTAATTACTCATCCAGACATTCTTGATGTTGCCGTTATTCCGTAAATAATTTTACAACTTTTTATTTCTTTCAATCAATACGCTATGATTTTTGCCTGTATAACGTCAAAACCAACATGAAATCTTTTTTCTCTGTGTTTGGTTTTGTGTATCGCAAAAGGTTTCCGGATAAAGAAAGAGGACAATACCCGATGGCTTACGTGTCACGAAAGCCTGAGAGCAATCTCACTCATAAACAAGTTATCGACTTCATATCTCATCAGGTTCTTTCTATAATCTTAACCAAAACTTAATTCACTATACATATATCTTTAAATCACTTCAACTTGGGTGATGAATATTGGTGTGTTTAACAGGTAGCACCATATAAGAAAATAAGAAAAGTCGCATTTATAGATTCTATACCAAAGACTCCATCCGGCAAGACGCTTCGCAAGGACTTAATTAAACTAGCCACTTCTAAGAGTAATCTATAGATTTGTTACATTGTCACTTTTATTTGTATGGTTTTCTTCGGCAAGATAAGAGATAAAGAGTGATCTAAAATAAAAGGAGATAGTATGATGTCAATCACTCGCAAATGGATATGTTTCTTTTTCTTGTCAATGGTTTTCGATTAATTTAAACTAAGATGGATACATCATTGTGATCAAAATTGGGATGCCCTACAAAGAAAAAATTACAAGAAACAAAATAAGTTACCTATATCCCTTATAAGGTTTGTGTTATGGGTCTATGTTTGAGTGGTCGTTGGAATGCGCATGAGAAGCTAAGTTACTATATGAACCATGCGCGAAAGTGTAGGAATGGAATGACCTTGGGACCACAAAGGAAGTCTTTGCTACCGAGTAACTTTGGGCTTGAAATTTGAATTAAAATGTAATTTGCAGAACAAAAAAAGTGCTTCGCATAGCTATTGATGATGTTGTAGGTCAATGAGGCTAGTTAATTGGTTTTCACAAAGTTCGTTTGCTAAATTAAAGGGAGCCAAGGGATGTTAGTCAAGCGCCATATTATTACAGAAATAGGGCATGTGAAGAGCATATGAGCGATGGTTTTCTATGTCGAGCCATATCTTACACAAGTATTGTGAACTTGTATGCCTCTTGTGTTCAATTCTGTTGCAGTACCAAAAATGCCTTGGATAGGATGCGCCAAATAAAATA